ACTAATTTCTAAATAAAGTGTTTGTTGGAATTGTTAATTCCTAACTCTGGATTCCTCAGTGCAATTACACTTATATACATATCAGAAATATTGTTATATCAGTTGATATCAGATGAGTTTCAGGGCAACCAAAAGTTCTAACTTGTTAAGGTAGAAAAAATTCAGAGGTTAGAAAGATTAAATTCAATACATTTTTTTCTGCTTTAATTCAGAGCCTATTTCTGAATTTGGAAGATGTGTTCAAATACACATAACTGAAATGTGTGACACTTATCCATTCATTCTTTAACATTAACATTATAATCCATATTATATTTGCAATGGAAAATCAGAGATCCAAAAATACACAATTACACTATTCCCTTTTGATGTTATGCAAAGTAAAGGTAAGAAATAGTAAGTTTTAAGGTAAGAAAGGTAAGGTAAAGTTTAAGATAAGAAAATGAAATTAGCTAAAATTAGGTGATACAACATCATTCACTATGCATACCTTTCTGTTCTTACAAATTGTATTTGCTTACAAATTGTATCTGCAGATCCAGGCACTGTTGTCTTTTATACTTTTAAATGTCTCACCTTTTTTTGAGATTCTCACCAACTTCATCCAATTACATATTTCTGTCTTTTTCTTCCTGTTGACCCTAATTACTCTTCTTTCATATATTTTTGTGATTTGATTTTTTTGTTCTCTTTATATGATCAGAAGACTTTCACTTTTTTGTACTCTGTCTTGTTCCCAACTATCCATTTAGGTCATCCTTTTCTTCTAAATCACGTTTAGAATGTTGCACAATGTTTCCCAAACTTGTTCCTGTTTTTTCTATTATCAGCAATCACAGGAACATCACCATCTTATGAATTCCTTCTTTCTTAAGATTTATATGATCTGAAGAGAACCATAGTATACTTTCATATGCATCCACAGCAATTTTGATGTCACCAATTCATACTTTCTGCCAGACATTTTAGCTTTTTCACTCATAATTAAACTCTTATGTTTACTCCTCTGCAGGCGTTATCAACCCCACTCTTCAAGGTAAGGCTCTGTTCATTCAGATTTATTGAATTCTTTCCACTTTTCTTGGTTTCTGAATTTAACAAAGTATAACAAGTATTTACTTTCTTTTTAAATTTCATTTGTTAATTCATGCTCTTTATCATTTACACTGTGAAGTTGCAATCTTCGGTATGCCATGATCATCAACAGACTGGCCTAGAGCTACTGACCTCGCTACCCATCAGAGAATCAGAGAGTTGGAAGGGACCCAAGAGGTCATCAAGTCCAACCGCTTGCACATTGTGCCTGCACATTGCAGGATTCATTACACAATCCCCAATGTATGACTACGCAGCCTGTTTGAAAACCTCCAGTGAAGGGAAAGAAACCACATCATGCAGTAACTTGTTCTACTGACAGCTTTTACTGTCAAGTAGTTCTTCCTAATGTCTAATCTATATCTACATCCTTGAATTTTCGTTCCATTAGTTCTAGTCTTACCCTCTGGAGCAAGTGAGAATAATCTGAACCCTCTACAATGTGACTACCCTTCAGATATTTGAAGATGGCTATCATGTCCCTATCATGTCCCCTTCTCTTCTGCAAGCTAAACAAACCTAGGTCTTTTCACTGTTCCTCATAAGACTTGGTTTCCAGTTCTTTTACCATCTTGGTAGCTCTTCTCTGCTCCAGTTTTATCAATGTCTTTTTAAACTGGGGTGTGCAGAACTAAATGCAGTACTCCAAGTAAGATCTTACAAAGGCAGAGTGGGATAATTACTTCCTGTGATTTGGACTGTATGCTCCTCTTGATACTCTTCAAGATGTTGTTGGCCTTCTTTGCAGCTGTTGGGAAATATTGAGCTTGTGATCCACTAGTACAGCAAATCCTTTTCTCATGTGCTTTCTTGAGCCAGACTTCCCCCATTCTGTACATGTTTCTTTTATTTGTCTTATCTAGATGCATGACTTTATATTCTTCTGTTAAATTTCATTCTATTAGTTTTCTGTTCCCAGATTTGCAACTGTCTTTTTCAAAAAATCCCCAATTTAAACAGATATTTGCAACAGAGAGAAATACAGGACAATAAAGTGATTTTTTTTTTTTGGTGCCTTCAAGTCAGTTTTGGACTCCTGATGACTGCCTGGACAATTCCCTGCAGTTTTCTTGGCAAGGTTTTTTGGAAGTGGTTTGCCCTTGCCTGCTTCCTAAGGCTGAGGGAGAGTGATTGGCCCAGGGTCACCCAGCTGACTTTGTGTGTAAGGCAGGACTAGAACTCACAGTCTCCTGGTTTCTAGACCAATACCTTAACCACCACACCAGACTGGCTCTTCTTTAAAGTGATATTAGATGGGAAAAAATGATGCAATTCACTTTGATATTTGAATAATTGCAACATAGCTTTCTGTCTAAAGGAGGAAGATCTGAGTATTATAAAACCCTAAAGTTGATGCCTTCTATATGCAGGGACATTAGTTGGACAAGTGACTGTGACAGACAAAGACGAGCCCAATACACCACACAGCAAAGTGAAATACAGAATTATATCCCAGAATCATCAGAAACTTCAGGAATTTGTTATAGACCCAGATTCAGGCTGTATTACCACAGCATTACACCTGGACAGAGAGGTAATTTTCCATTTAGTTCTATACCAAAACTGTGAAATCATAAGAGCAACAGTGTAAAGCTAACAAAGGGTAAAATAAATAGATTGGTCTTAGTTACAGTAGCTGCAATATAGCTGAAGTCAAAATTTGTTTTGGTAATCAAGAATTATATAGACATTGTGGGTATGCAGAGGCCAAGTTCAAATAATCTAGTGGGTAACTTTGGAACAGTGTCTCAGTCTGACCTATTTCATAAGATATGAGGCTGTGATGTGGGATTGTGGGGGAAAAGAAGCAAATATACTGCTCTGAGCATCTATGCATTAAACAATGCCAAGCTATTTTTTTTGCAGAGTAATCTTTGGATGAGATGGCAATATTCTATAAATACTTAACGAAGTGAATAATCCCATGATCTTTGATTTTGCTTTTAAAAATTACAATATTTTTAATCAGGCCAGGAAAATTATGTCTATATATTGTTTCTAATGTTCTTCAGACTGAATCAACATATACACTACAGATAGAAGCAAGAGACATGGGAGGTGAAGTCTTTGGTTTGTGGACTACAGCAGAAGTACATATTGAGATTGGAGATGTAAATGATAACCTCCCTCAAATAGCACAAACTATGGTAAGTCTATCATAGTAAAACCTATTGAGGATTTTATAATGTTTATTATCTCTTAATGATCATTTTTATAGTGTTAATACAGTGAATGTTAAATTGAAGAAAAATGATTTGGGCAATTCTATTTACACTCTGGGGCTTCCATTACACTGCTTCTCCATATTTCATCATTCATGTCCCAGATCTGCTCCAGAAGATGTTTCCAACCTTCCAGAGCAGATTTTGGGGATGCCATGGAGTTGGAAGGATTAAAATTTATCCTGCTATTGGATCAGAATCCACCCACAGAATAACAGGGATAGTATCAGGAAGGCTAAAGTTCTGAATGAGCTGAAGTTGGAGAACAAAAAAGTATTAAGGATGTTTAACAAATTAATGTGTTTTTTTTAAAAAAAACAAGATAAAAAGAAGCTGCTCAGTAACACTACAACATCCTAGAAGGTAACAAAGAAGTAGAATTATTCAACTTGTATTTGACTTAGTCTTCTCCAACAAGAAGGCAATGAATGAAAAAGGGGGTTAAAGGGGAAGGATTATAGTTTGAGATAGGCAGAAAATACCTGTTAACTTTGAAAGAGTTTTCAGGGTGAGATGAATCCTGTCTGATACTACTGAAGGAACTTGTTAATGTCTAAAGTTTAGTTATTATCTTTGGGAAATACTTGAAGATGGATAAACTGCCAAATGACTGGAGAGCAAATGCTGTACCTTGCTTTTTTAGAAAAAAGTAGCAAAGGGTCTGAGCAATTGGTTAGCAAGCAAGATAAATCTGGGCTGGATGACATGATTATTAGGTGAATCTTGCCTGGCATGAGAACTGTTCATAAACTAACATTTGAAAATTGTGCGTTTCAGTATGTAGTGGAGATATATGAAAACATAGAACATGCAGAAGTATTATGCATTCCTGTTGAAGATAAAGATGAACCCAGAACATCTTCATGGATGGGTACATTCACTATTACTAAAGGAAACGAAGACAATAGTTTTTCTGTTATAGTGGATCAACAGCAGAATATTGGGTGTTTAAGTGTTTTAAAGGTAACTGTGGATAGTAAAAAGAGTTACTGTAATAATTTTAAAAATGAAGCTAATTTTACTCAGTTTTAAGCTGTGAATAACTATTGTTGAAATATATTTTTCACAAGTTTCTAAAGATGTGTATTTTTAAAATGTTTCTTTTTATGAATGTTTTTTCTCATGAAAATGATTTGGGGCAGAGGAGGGAGAGAAAACTCAAATGAAATTTTAAAATATTAATAAGCATTGTATTTTCATCAATATCTTAAAATCATAATAGTGAAGTGTCTTAGTGGTAGTATATTGATTTGAATAGAAATTATCTCCCCCCAGGGATTGGACTATGAGAAAAGCCATGAGAGAAGATTAGAAATTATTATAAACAATGAAGTACCTTATGTTCCACCTCCAAACTCAAGAACTCTTTTAACAAGTGTGGCCAGTATTGTGGTCAGAATTAAGGACCAGGATGAAGGACCTGTATTTGAATCGTGTGAATATATTATATACATAAAGGAACACGTGTTGGTTGGCACAGTGATTGGTAATTACCAAGCAAAGGATCCAGAAACTGGAAATAATGAACATTTAAGGTACAAAATGATTATATTGGTTAGTTTGTTTACAGATTGTACATAACATCAGAAAGCAATTATAACTGACTTACATTATTGGAATAAATTTGAGGTACGAAGCCTTCCTAAAATATTTATTCTTAACAGTTACAGAATAATAAATGACCCATGCAGTTGGATCACCATTGATCAAATAGGAAATATCAGAACTACTGACATTTTAGAAAGAGATTCACAAAATATAGAATACAGTCAGTGCAATGTAACAGTATCTGCAACTGATCAAAGTGAGTATCAAATGCGGGAAATGTTGGTACTTTATGCTGCATGCATAAAGCTACCAGATCTGGGCTGCAAAAATATGATCAGCTATTGATGACTGCATTGAATTCAAGTGTTTTCTATCTTTTATTATAATCTAACGGTCACCAAAATTTTTGCAACTCTGACCTGTAGCCCTAAGCATGCAACTCTAATATTTGAAATCCATTAATTGTATATCTCTTTTTAAATCAATCTCCTTTGAATTGTTTTACAATATTTATTTGGGATGATTATTTGACATTTTTCTTTAAAAATCATCTTTTTAGATGTACAAACTGAATTCTATTATTAAATCTACCCAAGGATCAGCAGAACAGATCCTTGTCCACCCTACAGTCTCTACAGAACCCCATCTACCATGTAGAAAACCATGCATTGATTGTTATTCAAAACTTACCTTTGCATTTATTAGATACTTATCTCACTTTTCCTCTGAGAATTTGGGCAGCAAATATACTTTGCAGTAATTCATGCTGTTAGTAATGCATAATTCTGCAGTTTAACAAACTACAATGGCAGGATTCATTTCTTGTGCTAAGCCAAAACCAAACAATATTATGGATTAGCACAATATGTGAAACCAGCAAGTTGTTTTAGAGTTATCCTTCACTGATGTGAGAGAAAAATAAAATCTTTGTAATTTTATATGATTTTGCCAAGTTACATTCATTACTGTATTAAAATTAAGCATTTCAATTTCCTAGGTAGTAAAACAGGAACTGGGACAATTGTGATAAAACTGATGATTGAGAACAATTATCCAGTGACTACTAGTAAACACTATGTCATGTGTAACGACAAAAAACCAATCTGTATAAAAGCCACAGACATTGATCTACCTTCCTCCACTATACCTTTTCGTTTTGAAATAGAGAATCCAATGAACTCAAAATGGAAGTTAACACCAAATGATGGTATGTTTTTGGTTTTCAATATCTACAAAAGAAATTGTGACTAATGTAACTATCATATAAAGTGTAATTTGTGAATTTGAATTATTTCTTTTGTAGATGCATCAGTACTGCTTTCTTCAGTTGAAGATATAGACTATGGCTACTATTATATTCCTCTCAGAATATACAATGGGGGTAACAACAGAAAAAGTGAAATAATAGTTCACTATTGCAACTGTGCAATTCCAAGTGACTGCTCTGAATCCAAGACAAACACCTCATTGGGTTATTCTGCTTTAGACACTCAGGTAGAGCGTAGTCCAGTTGTAGCATCTGCTTTAGGTGCCTGGAGTATTCCTGCAATGGTCATGGGATCATTAGTAATGCTGTGTAAGTATATGTGTGTCTTGAAGAAGCAACATGAACTATGAAAGACCAAACTACATCTCTCCTTGTTTACCAACTACCTCAGTTAGCGACCATATTTAAATATGACAGTAATAAATGGTAATAAAAAATTCATTTTCCGACCAATGCCTGTGTTTCTGACCAAGGTTTGTGCTCCTAACAACAAAAGCCAGAGTGATAGTAATGCACAGCTGTATGAGAACTTTAAATGAAATGGTAGCAACCAGTGATCTTCACAGTGTCTGTCTTAGTCACATGTTCACTTAGTGACCATTTAGCTTAACAACATGGTTGTTGGAACAGAACTTGGTTGCTAAGTGAAGAGTAGTTGAATATATTTTAAAAATGTAGCTAAAGAGGAAATCCTAGATCCTCATGTAGGGGAAAGCTGGGGTTATCTGCTTTTTTCCCACTCTAGTCCCATTATACATTTTTGTGGCCCATTTCCCTCCTCCCCACCACCCCAGAAAATCCACTTTCTCAAATATTTGGCAATGCAAATTACAAACCTTCATGAGTACCAGGACCACAATGAATGGATCCAAACTGGATCTTCTTTGCTTATTTTTAAGGAAAGGGAAAATGTAGTTTCAGTTTTGAGTATTAAATTTAAATTCCCCCCCCAAAAAAGTACTCTCCCTGAAAAAATTGCCAATAATTCCTCCCCCCAAAAGATAGCCTTTTCTATTTTATAAGCTCCATATAGTGCTATAAAAGAGGGTTAGACGTTAGACCACAGTCAGCCCTCACCATCAATAAAATTTCATTTCACACAGAGGAGGAAAA